GCTCTTCCGCGAAAGCCAGCAGCTTGGCCACGCAGGGCAGGTAGAGCAGGGCGGGCACGCGATACGTGACGCCGTTGGACTCCTTCTCGAAGAGCACGGTCCGGGCGGGAAAGTACCGGGAGCCCATAGCATCTGTGGCAGAAAGATGCAGCCCCACCCTGGTGGGATGATGAAGGAGAGGGGCACTAGTTGCCAGGCACGGTTAGGGGTGCGGGCTGGGAGCTGGGTGGTCCTTGGAGAGGTCTGGGGTTTAACTTGGCGGGCTTGGGTTTGGGGACACCCCTGGGAGCATGGGCTGGAGGGCAGGTTGCTACAGGCAGGGTTGGAGTTGAGAGGGGCTGAACGTGTGCTGCTGTGGTGGCAAGTCACCGCAGCTCAAAGGCGGGATGAGATTTTGGGTGACACCAAAGAGGCTGACCTGCACTACCCCAAAATGAAATTAAATAAAAATAAATTGATCTTCAAGATGCTCTTCAAAAGGGTTTCTGGTAAACAGGCAGGAGAGGGGGGGGTTGACCCCTGCCGTTCCCCGCTCCCAAAGTCAAGTGGGTGTTGGGGGCCCAGAGTCCGTCTCCGCACGCCCAAGACCCCGGGACCAGCCCAGGCTCTTCATAAGGGGGTCAGGGAGGGTTTTGTCCTGCGTTTCTGGTGCCTCCAGTGCAGCGGACCCGGCCGGCTCCCTGTACCCCCTGCACTGCAGGGTTGTTCTGCAAGGCACAACATGAGCTGCGGGGTCCCCGGCCAGGCTGTCCCCGCCGCAGCGGGGTGCGAGCGGTCCCCAAGCACCCCTCCTTTGGGGACAGCAGTACTGCCACTGCGGTCAGCTGCCCCCAGGCTATGTGTCCCAGGTCATCACCGCAGGAGTGGCCAAGGGCAGCTTTCACCTGCGTTTTAATGAGGAGCTTTGGCTGATCAAACACCCCGGGGAGAAAGCGAAGGCACTCACCAGGTCCTGCTCAGCTGGGGGGTCTCCCCTCCGTCCCTCACCCCCGCCACGGGGTAACGCCAGCTCCCACAGCCGCCGGCTTTCTGCAGAGCCTGTCGCCACACAGCTTCGCTGCCGCCCCCCCTGCGGGGGCCCCCCA